CGACAGTTCCCTGCACATTTGTCTGTCTCTGTGATCATCCTGGAGAACCCAAGCAACGTTTATATCCATTTATCCAATACTTAGCCAAGTACCTGGCACATTCTGTATGTTCGATTATTATTTGATCAGTGACAACAAATGGTCTGTGGCATTTTTATTTTCTTCTTACTATAACCATTGAACACAATAGACAGTTAATAAAAAGTGTATCCAAGTATACATGCCTGCATTTTTTACTTCAGTTTCTGTTGTAGAAAAAGCAGTTTGAATCTAAGTCACAAACAATGATCAGACTAATCAGGAAATTAGTAGTAAGTTCAAGTTTCCACTTTTATTTGTCCTTGCAGACAGAGCCTGAAAGCAGAGTATTTTCTGGTAACAAATGGGAACCTGGCCAACCAGTGATCTTTGCATTAGCATTCTAATAACCAGAGGCCAATGTGCCATAGTGCTGTGTCAGAACTAATTTATGAAACCAGATCCAAAGGCACATTAAAATGGTCACAATTCAGTGACTGCCCAGTAAAATTAGGCTACAGTTTCTTTTCCCATAACAGTGAATATTTTAACATACTATTAAGGACATATTATACGTGTTCAAGCTACCTTTGATTCTGTGAAGGGAAAAACAACTAAATGAGAAAGCCATTTACTTTCCTTTTTTTACCGAAGTACCATTGATATACAATCGTACATTGGTTTCAGCACAGTGGTTCAACAGTTACCTACATTATTAAATCCTTACCCTAACTAGGACAGTCACAATCTATCAGCATAGGGAGATGTTACAGAATCATTGGCTGTATTTTCCATTCTGGACCACTATCCCTGCAACCAGCTTATATCATGATTGAGAATTTTTGTGCCCCTTTATCCCCCTCACCTTCCCAATCCCTCCCCATGGTAATCACCAGTCACTTCTCAGTGTCTATGAGTAAACTGCTATTTTGTTTATTTGGTTTTGTTTTGTTTTTAGATTCCACAAACAAGTGAAGTCATATGGTATTTGTCTTTCGCTGCCTGGTTTATTTCACTGAGCATAATGCCCTCTAAGTCCATCCATGTTGCAAATGGCAGGATTTCTCTTATTTTTAAGGCTGAATAATATTCCATTGTATGTTCCACATCTTCTTTATCCATTCATCTACTGATGGGCAGTATGGTTGCTTCCATAACTTGGCTATTGTAAATAATGTGGCAATAAACATAGGGGTGCATATGTCTTTTCAAATCAGGAATTTTGTTTTCTTCTGGTCACTTCTTTTAAGTGAAATTACTGGGTTGTATGGTATTTTTATTTTTATTTTTGTGAGGAGCCTCCATACTGCTTTCATGGTGGCTGCAACAATTTTCATTCCCACCAACAGTGTAGGAGGGTTCCCTTTTCTCCACATCCTTGCCAGCACTTGTTATTTCTTGTCTTTTGGATAGTGGCCATTCTAAGTGGTGTGAAGTGATATCTCATTGTGAAAACCATTTATGTTTGTACAAAATTGGCTGTACTCTCAATTGTAGGCTTAAAATGCTTCCAAAAATTCATATTTTAGAGCACATGGTGGGCTATACTTGCATTTGCAAGTCTGGTACATTTTTTCCTCAGAATAAAAGCATTTCTGGGCAGCTCTATCAAAGCACATAGGGTTGTGAACCTACCCGGCCAGGAAATCTCAGGCAGCTCAGCTGAGAGTCAAATGTGTTTCCCCCATTGTGCCAGACAAATCTCCCTATGGCATTCCTTTAATTATGTATCCCCTCCATGAATATATTATGTTACATGTTGCTTTGCACAGCCAAAGTGGGTCTGAGTGGTGCAGAAAATGAGACATCTAAAATCTGGTAAAGAGCAGTGAGATACTGGGGAAGTTATAGACTGAGCCTGGTGCAACTCCAGTTCAAGGCTGCTGCTGACTCCCAGACAGTCGTCTCTTGCAGGGCAGGGTCAGGGCACCCCTTCTCCTACCAGTTCAGTGCCTGGCACATGGGCCATGCTCCAGGACAAAGATGGTTGTAGTGAGCTGAGCTCATGGTATTGTTATGAAAGCCATCTAGTTGTTCACTATCTCAAACATCTGCATACGTGACATGAGAATAATGATTCCTGCTCTGCTTATTTCACAGGATTGTTCTGGGGACCTAAGCTAATAATAACCACAAAAACACATTTTAAACAGAGTATGGTGCTTATACTCGGGTAATGTATGGTTTTATGCATTCAGTTGTCAAACTAACAGACCATTTTCTTTATCTCCTGAATTTTTATTCAATGGAACAGTAATGAATTCCTAAACCTCCTAAATGTGAACAATAAAGGACTCTGAATGACATTCCTGGCAGTCTATATGCCATGGCTGAATTATTTAAACTTTTATCTCAACCAGGGGAAGGAAACAAAACAAAAAATAATCCCAAGAATAAAATGTATTACTTTTAGCTAATTCCTCTAGATAAATATTTCTTTTAATTCTTTCTTCATCTAAAAAATGACATTGGTAATGTGGATGCCTTATTAAACTACAAGTTAGATATCACTTTGATATCAAGGTTGTTTCAGGTTCTCTAGAAATGACAGCTACCAGCAGGGATTAGTAGAGGGAAAGGCAAGTAGCAAGTATCCATTTATTGTAGCAGTGTAAGTAATATGTAATTTAAAAGATTAACTTTTCAAATGAGGATATTCCAAACTGAATACATGACAAAGAAATGAACATAAAATATTTTTCTAAATATTTCAAGGGGTCTCATCCATCAGTGCTCTAGGATTGCTCTGTTTTACTGGTTGCTAACAGGTGTGCCATTCAAAAAGTACTCTATGTTCATGTATGCACACACACACACACACACACACACACACGTGAGTTAAACACAACTGAATGCTTATTTCTCCCAGAATTTTATCCTTTAACATGCATTAGAAAAATCAAAAAAGGGATAGCATTTTTCTAAACTTATTTTACCATGATTTATTTGTTTGGCAACATACCTATTAACATCTTCCACACATTGTTAAGGTAAATATGTTAGAATATATACTGGGAAATTTTGTTTGTCTAAACATACTACAATCCATGCAAGGATATGCCTTCTGGTGTATGAATTTAATTGACCAATAGATTCACTGAGCACCACATAAATGCTTGGTGGGTTGCTGCAGGGCATAAGTTGAATGAAACCATGACTGCCTTTTCAAAGCCCACTGTCAGAGGGAACAATCACTCAGCGGTCAGGGCCACTGGAACAATGTAAGCAAAAAGGGAGTGTAAAGAGGGAAAGTCACGTACATTTGAGTGTAGAAATGGAGGGATCTTCCCAAGAATCAAAATCAAGAAATAATAGAATGCTGTTCCTATCATCTTTAGTAGTACACTAACAAGAATTGACCAAATAAGTATATTTACATGTATTGGACATTTCTGAGGATGATGCTTTGGAAAAGTCCCTGCCTCCATTTGCTTTATTTCATTTACCTCGAGTCAGAACAGGTTCAGCTCATTAACTTTCTTCAGTTCTGTGACTTTATAGTTATTTCTGTCATGGTGTACTGACAGTGCTTATTTAGCTTAAAAATAAAAGGAAATTGATTACATCTTTGAATGTTTAATATATTTTTTAAGTAATTTACTGTGAAAAGATATAGTTAGTAGCCCAGCAGGATGTTTTTCAATTGTTTGAATCTGAGGTTTAATATTAGAAAGACAATTTTGTAGTGAGTTTTATTTTTTGCATGCTAAATTAAAATGTTGAAACCTCAAAATATATATAGAGTCTATTCTGTAAGCCCCGTAGTTTGTCCACACAGAGGCTCATCATGCCACATGACATAATGCAAATACCCCTCCTCCCTCTGTGTGGATGTCAGCTGTTTTGGGGGTCATCTCCTAGCCACTGGTCCCCTCTACTTTGTCCCTATGCCTGGAAAGGGATTGGGAGAGATCCTCTACACAGGTATGATGTGCAGTGAATCCAAACTCTTCAAGAAACTCTTCAAGAAACTTTTCAGTGGTGCTTGCCTAGTTTTATCAACAAGAATATGATTCTAATACTCAGATAATGGAGTCCACCTGCTTGGAATATGCATACCTCTATGGGTACCTTTGCATAGCAAGTAGAAATTCATCTGGGATGTTTTTGGACTATCTCAAAATGATTTCTTGAGAATGATTAAATCCACATCCATTCTTTCAGACAACACAAGATTTCTAACTATTAGTATTTGGCATGAATCTATTTGCAAACTAAGGAATTTAAAAAATAAACTTTATTTTCTGTGTCTCCGCATTTTACTCTAAAGTCTCTATCTTAATGAGAGTAGCAGAACGTTGAACATTGACCATCTTCCTCTTATCCTACCTCTGGATAACTTACACAGTTCCAGAACAATCAGGGAAGGAAGCCTGAGGAAGCCTCTCTGGATTGACCACAAAATTCAGGGCTAAGATGCCATTTACCCTGCTGGCATGGTCCCTTCAAGGCCACCCTTCTACAGTCCTTTTCTACTTAGGTGGAAGGATATTACCATGGGAAATTTAATAATTCCTCTTATGAACAAAGCTCTATTCCATGCAGTTGTCTATGCAAACTGATATTCCTGGCAAAAATCAAAATTGGAATGATTTCATTTTCTCTCTTTCTCTTTATCAATCTCTTCCTCTCTCTTCCTTTTTAGGAAACATCCCTGATTCCCCTTACCTTGTTCAACATTTTCTTTTTTCATAGTACTTATCACCCTCTAATATATTATAAATTTCTTCTTATTTATTATGTTTGTTACTAATTATCCCAGTAGAAGTAAGTTCCACAGGACATGGATCAAACCTGTTTGGTACATGATGTGTCTCAGTGTTGGGCTTAGAGTAGGAGCTCAATAAATACTTGTTGAATGAATAAATGGCATTTAACATTTGCATAGGAAAATGGCAAAAAGGAAAATAAGACTGCACAATTTACTCTTCCAAATGGTTTAATACTTTTTAAATCAGTGCTGTATTATTTCATGCTTTCAGATATCAACATGGCAGGAGAACCCAAACCATACAGACCAAAACCTGGAAACAAGCGGCCCCTTTCTGCACTTTATAGGTAAGTAAGCAAGCACTATTCTAAAGTATGTAGTAGTGAAAATTTCCTGCAACTTTAAAAGGCAATATAAACTTTAAGGAATCAAATATTTTGAAGAACAATCCTTACTGGCACAAAGTATAGCCAAATGCTCATGGTTGACATATAAGTATGTCACACGGCATGGGTAGGAATCTTGGATACCTAACCTTCTCATTCCTGCTTAAACAACCCATCTACTAGATATTCCTCTAATAAAAAAATATCTCATGACTTTACCTGGCAAGTGGAGGGAAGATTGAATTTTTGACTATTGCATACCATATACTGTAGGTGTTTACATGTTTTTTAATTTAATTTAATTTTCACAACAATCCTGTAATATAGATACTACTCTCATCATACAATTCAAGAATATACTGTGCAATTTCTCAGAGATTTTCCCTAGGTCACAATACTGGTAAATGATGGCACCAGTATTTGAGCTCATGCTATCTGATGCATACCCTGAATTCTTTTCACCTGATACTTCAGCCCCCTTTGTTAGAAAGTACACATTCCTTTCACCCCCCATATCTCCAAAACAAAAATTCAATTCTTCTCTTCTCCACAGAGACATATCCAGTTCCTTTAACCTTTACTAAAATACTTGGGTCTGAGTCAATTGAACATTCTGGTCTTTCCCTCTTCCTGCTCCAGTTTATCATTTGTTCACACCTATGACCTCAACTCCAGGTGACTAGAGTAGGTGATACTTAGCATCTTTGTTGGTCTGTATATGCTATTAGTTTAAGTAAAAGTTGGTTGATTTGGGGAAGAAGACAAGTAAATTCATGGAACTTTTGGTTCTGTAAAAACAGCCACTTTGGGAAAATAACCTCATGTTCTGATGTTGTAATATCTCTGCCACTAAATACAATGGTATATTTTTTCCCTACGTATATGTATAATAATAACAGTATTACACACAACAGTAATAGTAGTATAACTCCATTCAGGTTCCTGGAACCGATTCCAGTGTGTGTAAATATGTGGGAGGGGGTCTTCCCACACATACTTACACAAAGCAATTCTTGAACACGAGCAGGGTGTTGGAGAACTCAATTCTGATGCTCTCTGCCTGGAGACAACACCAGATTCCCAGGTTATGGGCTCCACGCTACAAGACTGCCCTCTACCCCCCGACTCCAGACACCAGTCTCAAGCCACCTGTGTTTCTGACCTACCAGCTGCTGATCTGAGGTTCCCACAGTCTCCCCCTTATGTTACATTAACTTGCTGGAGTGGCTCACAGAACTCAAGAAAACACTTATATATACCAGTTTAATAAAGGATACCATGAAGGACACAACTTAACAGCCAGATGAAGAGAGACATAGGGCATAGTCCCAAATAAAGGAGCTTTTGGCCTCATGGAGCTTGGGGCCTGGCTTGTCACGTGCAGGTGTTCTGGTTCCCCAGGCATAGAAGCTTTCTTAGACCAAGAAGCAGGATCCAACTGAGCAGAGCAGCAGAGCAGAGCAGAGAGAGAGTGAGAAAGCTCTTCTCTTGGGTTGAGGACTTCATTGCATAGTCATGATTGGCCAAATTATTGGCCATTGATTGATTCAGCCTCCAGCCCTGCCCTTGGATGGGCATCCAAAAGTTCTCATTAACATGACAAAACACCCATTTTACCTTTAAGACGTTGCAGTGTTTTCAGGAACTATGGATGAAGATGAGTATACCTGGGAAATATATATTTGGTTATATGAATGACCAAATGTGTGTTTCTTATGACTCATTATATCACAGTTGTTAAGCAGTATGTCCCACTCCATGTACTCTTACCACTGGTTTTTGTACTATAAGTGCCAACTTTGCATCTTTCACTGCTACATTCTCTTATGTTAGAATTAGCCATTTGTTCCAGGCTGTTGACATGTCCTATCACCCACTTTATTTGGTTCTCTCCCAAATATGTATCTTCATCAATCAATGTCACAGCCAAAGAGGTAATAATGTAAGTGTTGAGCAAGAACCCCTTTTTCCTTAATATCGTTTGAATAAAGGATAATTGAGTTACACATGCCAAAATTGATTATGTTCTGATATAGAACAGTAAAAAGAATGATCAAAAGATAGTTTGGAGCTGGGTTTGTTTTGGTTTTTTTGTCACTGTTCTCTGAAAATTGGCTTATCTCTCTTTAGCCACTCACAGCCTCATTTCCCAAACTATAAAAGAAAACGGCCAGGACTAGATGAGATCTAGGTCTGCTCATGCTTAATGTCCCACAGCTCTCAGTGAATGAACACCAGAGATCTTAAAGGATATATCAAAAGTTTGTCTTAATTGCTCTTATTATTTTGACTGTGTGAATTTATTTAATTTTAATAAATTCCCATTGAAAATGGGAATTAAGAGCTTTACAAATGTCAGTAATTGATCACAAAGGAGTATTGATGTTAAAGGTTGGAGATGAGCTCATCAACAAAAGGTGAATGATACTTAATTTACCTTGTTTGAGGTAAAAGACAATGTTTATAAACCTGAGAAATGTAAACTGTTTTTTATCATATTCATTTTTAAATGTATGCCTAGAGCTGCAGCTAATACAGAACATTTGAAAAGTTGTATTTTCAATTATAAACAAAATAAGCTGTCAATGGCTTTTTTTTCTCTCATCAGAGTTACCACTGTGCAATGATGATAATTTTCATATTTTTCTCTGTTCATGGAGTGTTTTGATTTTCTTATAATAGAAGCTTATGACAAGAAACAAATATCTTTTAAACTGTTATTTCTCTGTTACTAAATTACATTGAATTGGGAATGCAAAAGAATTAGAAACAGAAGTTCATTTAAATCTAATATATTGTATACTTATCACATTAGTGGGGAAATGCTTATTTACCCTATTTTCATCTGTTTTCACAAGTGAAGGCTAGGGTGTTTTAAATTTGCAAAACAGTAACAAAGGGAATAAAAGAGTGAACAGGTAGCTGAGAAAGACCTTCTGTACATGTTTTCTCATTCTTACATCAGCTTAGTAACACCTCACTTTTGTGTAAAGTGTGTTTTCATAGCCAATATTCATCTATTCCCCACAGAAAACCATGCAATAATTAGTATTATGTGCCTTGCTTTATAGATGAGAAAAATAAGTTTCCAAGACAATAAAGGATTTGCCCGAAGTATGGTAACAAGATTAGGACCCGAACTCTGGTTTTCAGCCTTCAAGTCTACTGATACTGCTGCTGGATCATAGCTCCCTATATTTACTCATCAGCTACCGTCCAAACAATAGAGATTATAAAAAGCAAGGATTCCTGCCCACCAGACCAATAATCAATTAGATTTCTGTCCATCAATATCTTGCCAGCAGGTGGCAAAGGAAAGATGTAGCATAAGACCTGTTGTGTGGNAATAGTTACTGTCTTATACATGAGTTAGATGGACATATAAATAAGGAACATAACTGAAGTATACATATAGTGGTATAAGAAAATAGTGAGAGTTACTGCTTCTGCCTAAGAAAGAGAAGGGAGGGAAAAGTCTGGGTGACACTGAGATGGCTTTGAACAAGCAGGCATTCACTCAGCAGCCAAAACGAAACAAGGGCATGCCAATGCCAGCCAGAAAACATGTGCAGGGCACAGGCACAGAGGCAGGAGAATCTCATGATGGGAGCTAGGATGGTTCACTTGGTAAAAAATGGATAACTGGTGGCCCAGGATGTCAGGATCCCTATCTACCTGCTTATCAGGTTAAGGAAATTTGGTTTTTATTCTGCAGGCATACAAGGAACCATTTCAATATGGTGAGTGATTAAAATGGACTGTATGGGTGGGTAAGAGTCACAGATGTGTCCAAGATTTCCAGCTCAGGCAACTGGGGGAACGACCACATGAGTCTTGGTAGAAGGAACAGGAAAGGTGTGATAAGCAGCAGGAGGCTCAAGTGTCGGGCTGGGGGAAGGAAGCAAAAAGAAATCTAGGACTTAGATTCACAAAGACAGACAATTCATTAAAATAGACTTATAATAAAAATGTCTCCCATTAGAGGCTATTTGTAAATGGAACATAATTAATCTTTTGTGAAAATTCCATAAATATTGGACCTAGTCCTAATGGTGAAGAGCAAATCCATTCTCTAGAGAAAATATTGCAACTTTGAATAAATTGCTGCTTGAAATGTGCTATGTCCATTATGCAGTGTCTATGGTGCTCTATAATAACAATTCTCCCCCAGAAAGTGAGTTTCCCAGCATGCTGAGCTCCAATTAATGCTAAATAATTGCAAAATGAGAATCACCTTATGATGGTTTTGCTTCTGCTTGTGAAGTACACAGACCTGTCCTCTCTGATGTGAGTAAAGCTGATAACCAGAGAACAAAGATACTCTTTACCAGAGCTGAACAAGTTCAGGTTTTCATTCACCTAGAGCAGCCCTCCAAGGCTCAGTAAGATACAGGAAATATCAGGTCTCATCTCAATGCAGGAAGATGACTAGGTATCAGTCCCAAATGTGGTTTTATGGCTGTTAGGCCTTTCGTAGCAACTTTCCCCTCCACAGAGATGAACAGGGGAGTCAAGATTGTCCCTGAAAGTAATTCCAAGACTCCTTAAGAATATCGCAGGATAACCTGTAGTATCACCATTTTAAATTACCACAATTGGTGGTGATAGTCAAGAATGCAAAGTCTATGGTAAGGAACTTCAATGATCAACAAACTTTCAGAACATAGGCCAAGTAAGATGACGTCAACAAAATCTCTCTGGTGATTTCCTTACCACTTGACCCACACAGGTTCTTTTGTCATCATTGATGGCAACTCTAGCACATCATGGGAAAGGGGGACCTTGACAGGTGGCTCAAAATGTCCCCAAGACCCTCAGCAATAGAAACGACAGCAGTAGAAGCCAATTTCAGCTAATGCTAATATCAAAAATCAATATGGAAGAAAAACATTCTGGACATGTCCTGCTCTGTTGGCTAAGAAATGCTCACCAATTTGTTGAGATTATTTACTTTTTGTCTC